TCTTGGATTGACCTGCCTACTTTCTTGCCTGGACCTTGCCATCCCGGATTGACCTGACTACTTTCTTGCCTGATGCCTGTCACAGCCCCTGTCTGGATCTGGCTACTCTCTTGCCTACTGACTTGTGAACAGTCTTTGCACCGTATACTTTCTGTTCCATCCACCCCCTTGTTAAGGCAATCCTGAGAGCCACAACCTGGTGCCAGTTTCTAGCAAATAAATCCAGGATCACTAGGGTTTCCCGACCATAAACACCATTAGGTGAAGACCAACTGTCAATTAGACTCCGCGTCTCGGATGGGTCACACGGTGCTGATGCTTTAGTTGCCCATAGATGTGAGATAACAGTCACTTTATCCAACCAAAAACATTTGGACTGGAGAACATATTCAAGACTATGGGTCCCCCAAGCAAAAAGGCTAGCTAGGGACACCACTGCCAGATAAAGCACATATATTGGGGATTTATACCTGCCAAAGGTAATTCTTTTGATCCAGTCCTGAGATTTGCACAGCTCTGGCACACAGCACAGCCCTGTCTAGTAAGGTAGGATACCTGAATTCTCTCTGCTGCAACACTTACAGGTCTTCTTTCTCTCCCAGCCTGCCACTGGGCAGTGAAGGAGAAGCAGAAGACCTATGAGTTCACCTCTCTCCCTGTTGGGTGACCCTTCTTCATTTGGGGGTCTACCATTTTGTGGAGAGCTGCCAAACCTAAGCTGCTTTGCTCAATTAAGGACAACTTCATTAGTTAAGTATCCATATCCAGCACCTTGCTCCCACGTCATCTCTCTGTCACTCTTCTCTTGCCTCCTATCAGCATGCTCCTTGTTAGCACATGAACTCTGCAGTGTAACTGACTGGCTTTGCGTGCTGCTTCTCCCTCCACCCAGTCTGAGCTCTGCTGTGTTGCAAAAGCCTGGTACCAGATCATATTCATGTACCTGTGTTTAAAAACGCACATTTTGTAATGTACTTGGGTTTAAAAACACACATTTTGTAATGTATATAGAGCTCAGAGCTGCATTGACTTGTGCCTTTTACATCTGCCTGCTTTCATTATAGACAAGTAACCTTAGAGCAGAAAACGGGGACAAAGTTACAGCTAAGGACACACTGCTCCAGGGACAAAACCCAGATAGAGATCTGTTTCCTCGTAGTTGGTTTATGCAATGAGTGACTCCGTCCAAATCAAACAAGAGAAAATTTCACAGAACGCCGCCGCTGTTTATTATACAGTAAATCAGCGTTCTGCTTCCAGACACACAACTTGTTTCCTAACATTGCCTCCTCCTTCCATCCTCACTGCTCAGCTCGCAGCCTCTGCCACGTGTGTTGAGTCAGACCCAAAAGTCTTCAGCTGCAGAGCTGAGAGCCTCAAGCTGCCTTTCCCTGTACAAGATGAACTGTCAGAGGTGTCAGTATCTGGAAACCCCCATACAAGTGACATTTCAGAAAACTCAAAGTGACACCAAACTCAGGGGTTACATCTTAAAAATGCATTCAAGCACCCTAACTACTAAAAATGTATCTTATTTGTGTATCACTCGGCTGTAGATCCTCCAATCATCTGTGAATTGGTGCTGACACTGTCCTTCCTTCTGGAGGGGGGCTACTTTTGTTCCTCATGGTCCCTGTGTGTGTTGTAAAGTACTCACCCCACCAAGCTCGCTCCTGTGATGGACTACAATCTCAATACAAATCAGTAAACTAAACACGAGATTGTAGTCCATCACAGGAGCAAGCTTGGAGCGGTGACTACTTTATAACACACACGGGTACCATGGGGAACAAAAGTAGCCCCCCTCCAGAAGGAAGGACAGTGTCAGCACCAAATCAGAGATTATTTGAGGATCTACAGCCGAGTGATACACAAATAAGATACATTTTTGTTAATAGTTGAGGTACTTGAATGTATTTTTAAGATTTAATTCCTACATTTAGTGTCACTTTTAACTAACCCGTTTGGAGGTCGTCAACGTATCTCACTCCTGTGGTCACCAGGTGGTGAAGAACTACAATGCTTAATGTATTGTCAACCTCATTCTGAGAGGGACAGAAAGACAGTAGCCTATCCCTGAAGAAGCAGATTTCCGTGAAACACATAGAAATTTGTTGGGATGTGGTACTTTCCCCTTTAAGCACACCTCATTGTAATGACAATTAACTAATTCTGAGAGGTGTAAAAATGTTACAAGCTCTCAATATTATCAAATGTCAAATGATGTCTTTACATGATATATAATAATAATTAATGAGGGGAATTCATCAAAACTGGAGAAGACAAAACCTGGGGCAACTGTGCATGGCAGCCAATCAGCTTCTCCCTTTAGTTTGTTCAGTTAAGATTTGAAAATAAAAGACAGAAGCTGATTGGTTGCCATGCACATCTGCTCCAGTTTTCGTCTGCTCCAGTTTTGATAAATTCCCCTCAATGTCTTCACACTGTTGCGTTTTAAAGCACGAAAACATGTGTTCATATGCATCGATAACGCATGTCAGTGCACAAAGGGAAAGGTGACAATGCATCTGCCTACTGCTGCAAAAAAAAAAAGCACAGCTACTTACATACTTAGATCTAAATGGGCCCTAAATGTAGATTAGTGGAGGTAATATTACAGCAGCCCTATAGTGTAATGGCGCAGAGCTTCCAGGTGGTGAAGAACTACAAGTCTCAAAGTTCCCTTGTTTTTATCTGCAAACGTTTTGCAAAACCATAAAACATTTCTCTTTAGATCAGAGCTGACCGGGTGATGGGATTCAAGGTTGTCCTCAAACTGTAAATTGATTAGGTATTGAGGAAGTCTCAGCACCTCCTGGCCAAGTCATTATCATATCAGACAGATCAAGTCCCTATCATTAGATTTTAGCAAACTGACCCCCTCTGTCTATGTCATACTTCAATGTGTTTTTTTCTTTCAGATAACATTAATGTTACTGATTTGCAGCTATCATGTTAAAGCAAGCCAACTGTTGAGACACTGCAAGTCTCGGCATGCATTTGCAATGACTGAGAGCTTATCAGGGTTGAAGAACCATAACTCTCAAAGTTCCCTGCTCGTTTTGCAAACCCTTTAAAAAAATCATCTTTAGGTCGGAGGTAACCAAGTGATGGGATTCTAGTTGTCTTGAAACTGACAATTCATCGGGTATTGAGGGATATACCAATCTCAACATCGCCTTGTCAAGTCAATAGAAGATCAATTAGATAAGATCAAGTCTCCATCATAACATTGTAGCAAACTGGCTTCTAACTATGTCAAATTTCTTTCAGATAACATTTAGGTTTCCTATTTGTAGCCCTCATGTGAAAGCAAGTCAACTGTTGAGAAACTACAAGCCTCAGCATGCTTTTGCAGGTGGCATCTTGAAGCCGGTGGTGTCTCACCACCAAACGGGCTTTCAGATGGGTAAAGGGTGAAGATCTACCTGCTCATTGGGTCAAAACTATTAAACCAATGATGTTTAAATGCTTACTGAGAAACTACAAGTCTCAGCATGCTTTGCAGGTGGCATCTCAAAGCCGGTGGGTTCTCACAATTAACTGGACTTTCAGGTGGGTAAAGGTTGAAGATCTACCTGCTCATTGGGTCAAACCTATTAAACCAATGAAGCTTAATGTGCAAAGCAGTAAAAATGATCACTATGATCTTCAAAGTGCATCAAACCGCAGCATTTGACTACAAGTCACAGCATGCTTTTGCAGGTGGCACCTCAAAGCCGGTGGTGTCTCACCTTTAATGGGACTTTCATATGGTAAAGGCTGAAGATCTACCAGCTCATTGGGTCAAACCTAAAACAAGCAATGAAGCTTAATGAGCAGAACATACCTAGTAAACAAATGATGCTTAATGGGCTGTTGAGAAACTACAAGTCTCAGCATTCTTTACAGGTGGCATCTCAAAGCCGGTGGTGTCTCACCATCAACTCGGCTTTCAGATGGGTAAAGTCTTGAGATCTACTTGCTCATTGAGTCAAACCTATTAAACCAATGATGCTTAGCGGGCTGTTGAGAAACTACACGTCTCAGCATGCTTTTGCAGGTGGCAGCTCAAAGCTGGTGGGGTCTCACCATCAACTCAGCTTTCAGATGGGTAAAGGCTGAAGATCTACCTGTTTATTGGGTCAAACCTAAAACAAGCAATGAAGCTTAATGAGCAAAGCAGTAAAAATGATCATTATGACCTTCAAAGTGCATCACACCACAGCATCTGACTACAAGTCTCAGCATGCTTTGCAGGTGGCATCTCAAAGCCGGTGGGGTCTCACCATCAACTCGGCTTTCAGATGGGTAAAGTCTTGAGATCTACTTGCTCATTGAGTCAAACCTATTAAACCAATGATGCTTAACGGGCTGTTGAGAAACTACAAGTCTCAGCATGCTTTTGCAGGTGGCAGCTCAAAGCTGATGGGGTCTCACCATCAACTCAGCTTTCAGATGGGTAAAGGCTGAAGATCTACCTGTTTATTGGGTCAAACCTAAAACAAGCAATGAAGCTTAATGAGCAAAGCAGTAAAAATGATCATTATGACCTTCAAAGTGCATCACACCACAGCATCTGACTACAAGTCTCAGCATGCTTTGCAGGTGGCATCTCAAAGCCGGTGGGGTCTCACCATTAACTCGGCTTTCAGATGGGTAAAGGCTGAAGATCTACCTGCGCATTGGGTCAAACATAAAACAAGCAATGAAGCTTAATGAGCACAGCAGTAAAAAGAGTCCTTATGATCTTTAATGTGCATCAAAGCACAGCATCTGATCATCTCTTGGTCTTCTCACCTCTTAGTGTGGCCTCCAAAATTAAGGATTAACTATTTTGGTGCCACATGTGTTTTGTACAGATGTAAAGTTCCAAAATAACTTTTACATCACTTTGAAATCTTCTTCTAGAGCTTGTAACCCTTTATTGCAGGTGTGTTCTCCAAGCCCCTCCAATCAGGTCACACCTTCAGAACTTCTCAAAACTTGCCACAAGCCAACCCACCATCCCTAGGACCTACCTGACAGACGGAGACTGCTGTTAGAATCCAATATAAGAGGCACCTCATCCCTGGGTAGCGGTGTTAAATGCATTGATTGGAGACAGTTGGCGTTCGCTGCGGTGCAGAATCAGTGGTAGGAAGGGATGAGGTTGCAGGCTAGTCCCAGCTGATCCATACATGAAAAGCATTGATGGCCTTTTGTCTCAGTCTTTTTTTTTAAAAGGCAGGGGTGACGTCAGGAGTGAAGACAAGCCCTGTGTTCTTTTTCCCTCCTGCCTTCCATTCTCTTCTCCCCACCTCCTGCATGCACTGCATGGTTCTCTGTGTCTGAAGAATCATTAAAGGAATAGTCAAGGATTCTGTCCTAGGACAAATCTGTATCTGTAGCAGTGCCGGCCCCCCTCTCTGCGAGTGAATCATGCATACACACACTGACTGACACAGCGAGAAGCATTTCATACATTCACCAACTACAAAACCAGAACAAGTTCTACGACCGGATTTAGACGTGACACACATGGAGTTAATAAAGACGCTTCATTTATTCTCTGGGATGAAGCGGAGAAATACATTATTTTTATGTGCAACAAAGTTTCTTTTTAAAGTGACACAAAACTCCGGAGTTAAATCTTAAAAATGCATTCAAGTACTTTAACTATTCACAACAATGTATCTTATTTGTGTATCACTCGGCTGTAGATCCTCCAATTATCTCTGAATTGGTGCTGACACTGTCCTTCCTTCTGGAGGGTGACTACTTGTGTTCCCCATGGTCCCTGTGTGTGTTGTAAAGTAGTCACTGTCAGTGGCGTCACTAGAGGGTGCAGCCCGCACCCGGGTGACACCATTGGAAGGGTTACACCAAAATGACTGACAGTCTTTTTGGTGTCACCCCCTCAGAAAAGCTGGGCACTCGGTCATGGACCAAGAGCCCGGCAGTTGCTCCAGAGAGGAGGAGACCCGGCAGCATACCTTACCCCGCTGGGTTACGTCCCCTCCTCTCTCTGCCGTCGTCCATTAGACATGTGCAATTCGTTTTGTTCCGAAATCAAAATTCGGACTAATTTTCTGAAATTCGGACATTTGGACACATTTGAATTTCCAAATCCCAATGCATCCGAATGTTTCCGAATCCGAATCTCCATTTCCGAATTTCGGATCCCGTCGGAATTTCATATACAAACTAAACTGAATCGGACATGTGACTTTCTGGCCAATCAGTGTTTTACGGGTTTAATCCATCCGTATCGGTCTGAACACGAATTTTCGTTTCGGCAACATGGAACGCATATATATATATACAGTACATAGAATACTAAAGCTGAGGCTCCCAGACCCGATTGGCATTTGGGATCCGAATTTCCAAATTGCATTTGGGAGCTCCCGAATGCAATTTGGAAATTCGGATCTCAAATGCCATTCGGGTCTGGGAGCCTCAGCTTTAGTATTAATATCTGTATATGGTTTTCTGTGGTATTTGCAACGAATATTACTGAACTCATCTGAAACTAATTAAAATTCGGATTTCCTCCGAATCCGAAACCCGAACCGAATTACATTTCGGATCTGAATCACGAAATAATGAAATATCTGAACGGAACTGAACCGAATTTTTCGGCAGCTTACATGTCTAGCGTCCATCACCAAGACGGCTGCTGGTAGGTAACAGTGGTAACAGCATGTGACATCATCACGCGCATTACGTTGACGTCACAGCAGGGTGTCACCCCGCCTTGGCACGCCCCTGGCCACCGCTCCAAGCTCACTCCTCTGATGGACTACAATCTCGTTTTTAATTTAAAAATGTTTTTTGGTTTGAATGGGATGCCGACTAGGGTTGCCACCTTTCCTCCATCGAAACCCGAACACTCTAGTGACGTGCATAATTTTTTGGGGGAGAATACACATGAGAGAGCGAGGCGCATAGCCCCTATCTTAATTTTAGTTGCCCTTGTCTGTCTGACATCTTGTGTCCGGGTTTCAGCTGCCATGAAACCCAGACACAGTACTCAAAACCCGGACTGTTGGGTGAATCCTGGACAGGTGGCAACCCTAATCCCAACGCATGAAAAAAAAAACACACCTGCAATATTTTTGCCAACACGACAGAAAACACATCAATGCTATAGCACCCATCAAGGCACTTTGATACCACTCCCAAGATCCAGCCCACTGCTTACATCAGGGATGAAGAGAGAAGTGGAGTGCTGAGGCAGGGTGTTGTGATGTTTTCAGGAAGCTACATACAGCACCCTGGTGACCCCTTCAACCAGCCATGATCTGCCTGCATTGTATAGAGTAGCACAGATACCCTGTGATGACATCACTAGGACTAAAATAAGTTATTTAACAAGACAAAAAGGTTTTATAATAAAGGTTTTTGAAGTGGG